GAGGGGGAGGGGCGGGTTGGTTGATGAAGAGGAGCGGGGCGTCCCTCAGTCCTACCTATACATGGAGAGTCTCCAACTCGGCCAACCATTTTATTCACGATGCCCCCAGTAGAGGTTGCATAGGCCAGGTTTCCTCTGCAGTCCATGGCAACAGCACCCACAGTTCCCAGGTGTCTGTGAGAAATAAACAGAAAGAATGACAGCCAGAAGATGACACTCCACAGGAAACAGCATAGCTTCTCACCACCTTTTAGCTTCCTGTAGTGTACTGTAACATGCATGGACGGAAAACACTTTGAGCCAAACATTCTAGGTTCAAAGAAACCTTTACTTATTATTATTCTGCACAGGAAAGTCCACGAGACTCTAATTAACCAGCAAAAGGCCAGAAGTGGAGGTGTCACTTAGTGATAGAGCACCAGCCCTGAGTGGAAAAAGCTAATAAAGAGCACAAGGCCTTAGGTTCAAGCCCTAGTTTCCCCTCCTCAGCCCCAGAGCATCTAGATAAATGACATGGCCACACCCCTCAATCTTCTCTCAAATCATGTCAACTTACTGGAGTTACGGTCCTACTACTCATGCGAGTCGGGTAAGAAAATGGATGAAATGGAAGAACCAAAAAGAGCAGCTTTTCCATTATTTAGTTTAAAAGACATATGCAATGTAGGAAGGAGGAATCTTCCCAACTTTCCCACATGCCAAGCCGGCAGGATGGTGGGAGACTTACTTTGCACAGTCTGCTTTCTGGGCACCTAGCTCTTCCTTCTCTCTTTCCAGGTGCTTTTTGTTTCTTGTGGTTATAAGTTCTTCTACGGGGATTTGCTGGACTCCCATGTCCTGTGCGAATTTTGCAGCCCCTTGGTCAGTCAGAAAGCAATGAGGTGTCTGTACCAGGAGCAAAAGGGAAAACAGGTTTGTTTAAAAAAAAGTGTTTTGTACTGGCTTGAACTCAGGGCCTGGGTGCTGTCCCTTAGTTTTTTTTGTTTTGTTTTGTTTTGTTTTGTTTTTTACTCAAACTATCACTCAACCATTTGAACCACAGTTTCACTTCTGGCTTTTTTGGTAGTTTAGTGGAGATAAGGGTCTCACAGAGGGCGAGGAAGGTGGCTCAGTGGTAGAGCATTTGCCTAGCAGGCCTGAAGCCCTGATTCCAATCCTCAGTACCACATACATAGAAAAAGCCAAAAGGGGCTTTGTGGCTCAAGTGGTAGTGTGCTAGCCTTGAGCAAAAGAAGCTCAGGGACAGTGCCCAGGCTCTGAGTTCAAGGACCAGCCAAAAAAAAAAAAGAGCCTCACAGATTTTCCTGCCCAGGCTGGCTTTGAATCACAATCCTCCTGAGTAGTTGGGATTACAGGCATGAGCCCCTGGTGCCCAGCTTCTTCTATGCAATTTTATGACAGTGATCTCAAGGGCAGGCCCCTTTCACCGCCGAAGCACAATGGTTAACGGTGAGCCAGGCCAGAGTGGCTTTAGTCCCACATACCTTGTCCATAACCAGCCGAGCGAGCTTCACAGGGTTGGCAATACAGCGCACGGCCGACACTGCTCCTGAAGACAGGTCCTTCCCGTCCATGATACTGGCATCCATCTCAATGTCTCCATTTATGTTCAGCACAGACCCACAACCTACAATAGGGATGAAGGGAGAGAATTAAAAAGGGAGGGAAGGACTAAAGGTGCGGCTCAGTGGCAGAACACCAGCCTAGCAAACGCGAGGCCCTGAGTTTAAATCCCAATACCACCAAAACAAACAAGAAAGCATTAGAAAAAAACATCCGTTTGATCTCACTTCCATTCCTCTTTTATTCTGTTACCAGATCTGACTGGGCACTGGTGTGGGTATGGTTTGTTTCTCAACAGTTCAGGTATGGAAGGAAGCCTGGTGGAGTATTGAAGAGGTGATTAGGTGGAAGAGGATCAATGCTGATCTGGTGGAGTGTGGGAGGGTTTTATAGGGGTGGATCAGGTCCACAATACAGCAGTAGCTTTTTTGTATGTGTGTGCTGGTCATGGGGCTTGGGCACTGTCCCTGACCTTCTTTTTGCTCAAAGCGAGCCACTCTACCACTTGAGACCCAGCTCCACTTCTGGCTCTTTTTGTAGTTTAGTGGAGATAAGAGTCGTACAGACTTTTCTGCCGGTGATCCTCAGATTTCAAACTGTGATCCCCGTATCTCAGTTTCCTGTGCAGTGAGGATTGTGGGTGTGAGCCCTGGCACCCGGCGTGAGAGCAGGACCAGCCTCTCTGGTCTCTTACTTCATCGTAGTCATGTCATGCGTCTGTCACCAGAGGGAGCAGATGGTGGTGCTATGCTCTTGAACCTCCAGAACTGGGAGCTAAATAAACTTCTTTTTAATTGTTTTTGTGTTTGTTTTGTGAGACCCAGAGTCTCACCTATACTAGGTAAGTGCTCCACTACTGAGTTGCACTCAACTCTTTTTTTCTTTATAAAGTATCCTGGTCAGGATACTTTATTGTTACAGCAATACTATGAAGACTGAGACAGTACTCTGTGACCTACTGAAGAAAAGGTAGTAGCCCTTCTTGATCTGGTCTCTCTCCAGTTGCCTGCACCCCAAAACGTGGGGCTTCTCCAAGCTACTATGTGCCTTTGCCAGGCTGCCTACCACAAATGCCTTTTTCCAATTTCCTCTGCTTTGATGCTGCTTAAAAGTCTAGCTATCTCTGAGTATCTATTTTTTTCTGTAAAATGGGTAAGAATGGGCTGGGAATGTGGCTTAGTGGTAGAGTGCTTGCCTAGCATGCATGAAGCCCTGGGTTCGATTCCTCAGTATCACATACCCAGAAAAAGCCAGATGTGGCACAGTGGCTCAAGTGGTAAAGCACTAGCCTTGAGCAAAAAGCAGCTCAGGGACAGTGCCCAGGCTCTGAGTTCAGGCCCCAGGACTGGAACAAAACGGTAAGAACATCTGCTTAATTCTCATAGCCACCTATGAGGCAGATGGATGACAAACACCTGGAGCAGTGCCTGGCTCACAAAGACACCAGTAAGTGTTGGTTGCTTTTTTTTTTAATTTTAATTTTTTGTGAACATATTGTACAGAGGGGGTGTTGGTTGCTTTGATTGTAAGCCAGCTGAACAGGTGGTAAAACCACAAACCCCCTGCACTCCCAATGATCAACTGTCTGTCAGGCCAAGTGTAATGGCCTGTCACTGTCTGTGACAGCCATTTCTCTCTGCGAAGGTAGTCACAGACATTGATGCTTTTTTGAGGTGTCAAGCAAAACCCAACATTGCAGAAGCAATTATTTTATGGATAGGAGAGAGATCATTCAACTGGGAAATTTTAAGAGACTGATAATATAAACAAGATTAGTTTCTTAAAAATATTTTCATGAATCTGAAGAAGCCTAAAAGCAATGTAAACTGCTACCTGGTAGAGACTAGGCCATTCTGGTACTTGGGCATATCACCAGCTTCGCTAGGGTAGAGCAAATGACTAAGGAAACTGACCCCCAGAACTTCATTTGGGTTATGGAAATGTTCTTTGTTGCTAACCCTCCTTTTCTTCCTTTCCTCTTAACCTTCAACTCTTCCCTCCTCCCTTCTCCTCCCTCCATCCTACTTTCCTTTCTTTTTTTGCGATGCTGGGATGGAACACAGAACCTTTGCACATGCTAAGTAAGTGCCCCACAATCACAGAGTCCTAGACTAACCATTATACACACTGTATGAGGCACTCTAGAAGACACTGGGGGAAGAAGCACTAGGAAGTATTCCACAGGCCATGATAAACTTCATGAGTGAGGATTAAATAAAAAGCTTCTGGGGCTGGGAAGGTGGCTCAGTGGTAGAGCGCTTGCCTTGCATGCATGAGGCCCTAGGTTCGATTCCTCAGCACCACATAAGAAAAAAGAAAAAAGCCGGAAGTGGCGCTGTAGCTCAAGTGGTAGTGCACTAGCCTTGAGCTGAAGAGCTGAGGGACAGCGCCCAGGCCCAGAGTTCAGGCCCCACGACCGGACCCAAAAATAAATAAATAAATAAAATAAAAAGCTCCTGACCTAACATCTAGCAAGATGGGAACCTGTTATTGCTCAGATAGTGGTCTGGATGATGATCTTTGTGAAAGGAGAAACAAAAAGCAGTGCTCTGCAAGTGCTTCTGTGTTCAGCTTGGATGTTTCCAGTGGAGCAAGAGCCCAAAGAAAAGCCACATTTCTCCTGAGTTGAGGAGTTGAGAGTGGAGAACTCAGGAAGCCAGAGTGGCTGGAATTTGTGAGGTAGGGTACTTGAGAGGAACATGTTACAGAGAGATGAGAGAGAGAGACAAAGTGGGGGCGGGGAAGCAAATATACTGACCATGCATGTAAGATGTATTGGCCAGTTTTCTGTGAGAATCGTAGACTGGGTAAAAGTGAAAAGTGGTTTATTTAGATCACAGTTCTGGAGGGTTGGGGCATAACACCAAGGTATTGGTGCCAGTAAAGGGCTCAAGGTGGATGGCATCACAAGGCAGGGGGTGTATGAAGAGGGAGTGACTACCTGGCAAGTCAGAAAACCAGAGAACCATGGGGACCAGCAGAAATGCCATGAGAACCCGTCAATCCCTTCCGAGGGCACCGCAATGACCTCTGCCAGTCCTGCCCAGGGCCTCAGGCTTGCCACTTGAGCCTATCCCCAGACCTCCCAGATCCTCTTCTTCTTTCTTTCCTTCCTTCTCTCTCTCTTTTCCTCCTACTTCCCCTTCTTTTCTTCCTCCTCCTCTTCCTTCTTTGTGCTGGTCCTGGGACTTGAATTCAGGGCCTGGGCAATGAGCTTTTTTATTTAAGGCTAGTTTGAGCCACACCTCTACTTCTGGCTCTTTGGTGGTTAAATGGAGATGAGTGTTTTACAGACTTTCCTGCCTGGGCTGGCTCCAAACCATGATCCTCAGATCTCAGCCTCCTGAGTATCCTATACTTATAGGCATGAGTCACTGGTGCCCAGCAGGGGTCTTGCCTCTTAAAAGTCCTCATGTCTTTTGACATTGCCACACTGAGGGCCAACACTTGAGGCAAGAAGAGGAAGAGCCACATAAAGGATGTTGTGAAACCATTTCTGGAGCCCACATGGCTAGGAATGCCTCCAGTTCCTACAGGCTGAAGTACAAGAACTTCACAACTAAATATAGAACTTCTTAATGTGTTTTCTTATTAGTAGGGAGTGGCAGTGGGGCAAAATCAACCCAAGGCTGTTTTAGTCCCATCTAAGAAAGCTTAGAGATAAGTTTCAACTAAATCAAACTGTTTTCTACAAATCTTACTGCTTCCCAGAACAAAGCTCAAGAATAAAGGAATACCAAAATATTCAACACTTGACAGGGCAAAACTCACAGTGTCCCATATCCAATAAGAAATGACGATATAAGTTGGATGCCGGTGGCTTACATCTGTAATCTTAGGTACTCAGAAGGTTGAGATCATAGGATTGCAGTTTGAAGCTAGCCTGGGCAGGAAAGTCTATGAAATTTATCTCCAATTAACCACCTAAAAGCCAGTAGAGCTGTGGCTCGAGTGGTAGAACTCTAGCCTTGACCATAAAACCAGGTGGCCAGGTCCTGAGTTGAAGTCCCAGGACTGGCAGACACATGAAGGAAAGAAAGAAAGAAAGAAAGAAAGAAAGAAAGAAAGAAAGAAAGAAAGAAAGAAAGAAAGAAAGAAAGAAAGAAAGAGAAAGAAAGAAGGAAGAAAGAAAGAAAGAAAGAAGAAAGAAAGAAAGAAAGAAAGGAAGAAAGGAAGAAAGAAAGGAAGGGGGAAAGGAAGAGGGAAAGAAAAAGAGAGAGAGAGGAAGGAAGGAAGGAAGGAAGGGAGGGAGGGAGGGAAGGAGAGAGGGAGGGAGGGAAGAAAAAAAGCAACCACATAAAGAAATAGGAAAAACATGATCCAAAATGAGGAGGAAAAAACAAAAATCAATCAATACTAACAGACTCAGAAATGAGAAAAATGACAGAACAGAAAGATATTGAGACTTTCATTACTATATTTTATATATACCAAAACATACAGTGAAATATCAAAAGGACCCAACTAGAACTACAATTTTAAAAAAAGTCTGCCATGAAAAACCTAGTGGATGGGATTAATATTAGATTAGGTGTTTCAGCACAAAATATTAATGAATTTGAAGAGATACAGGAACAGAACCTACCCTGGCTCAAAACTCCACAAACAAACAGAAAATACAAAAAAAAAAAAAAGGATAGACATTAGATTCTCAGGCATGGTGATACATTCCTATAATCTCAGCATTTGGGAGGGTGAGGATGGAGGATAGTAAGTTTGAGGCTAGCCTAGGCCACACACTGAGATTCTGTCACACAAAAATTTAGAGAATCATTGAGATCAAGGACAATTTCAAGAAGCCAAATATTTATAACTGATCTTTTCAAGAGGAAAGATAAGACAAGAGATGAAAAAAATAAGGAAATAAATTCAAATAATGAATTTGATAAAAATTATGAACTCACAGATCTGAGAAGCTCCATGAACTTCGAGCTAAACAAACATGAAGAAAACTTCACTGAGGCACAAGATTAAACAACTTACAGAGAAGAGAATCTTAAAATCAGACAGAGGAAAAGGATACAGGAAGAAAAGGAAAATGGTTAGAATGACAGCAGATGTTTTACCAGAGCAATGAAAGGCCAAAGAGAGTGGAACAGTGTCTGAAATTTCCCTGAAGGACAAAACCCTGCCATGTTGGAATTTTTCAACAAGTAAAGAAATGAACATCAAGAATTGGGCACTGGTGGCTCACTCCTGTAATCTTAGCTACTCAGGAGGCTGGGAATCATGGTTTGAAGCTAGTCTGGGCAGAAAAGTCTCTGAGACTTTTATCTTTAAAAAACCAGTAAAAAGCTAAAACTGGAGGTGTGCTGAAGTGGTAGAATGCCAGCTTTGAGTGAAAAAGCTGAGTGTCGGAGGCCCTAATTTTAGGCCTCAGTACTAGGCGTGCGCGCGCGCGCGCGCACACACACACACACACACACACACACACACACACATGAAAAATGTACAAAACAAGAAATGCTAAAAGAAGGCCTTCAGGTAAATCAACCTTAGTAGATAATGAACAGGATTTACTTAAAGGAATAAAGTGCATTGAAATAGAAATGATCTAAATAAACACATTTCTCTTTTTATAGGATATTTAAAACTGAATTTTCAAAAATAAAAAGTGACAGCATATTATATAATTTATAACATACACAGAATGAAAACCATGGCAATCACAGCATAAAGGAAGAACAAGTGGCAGAGAAGTAGCTGCTATAAGGTACTTACGTCATACCTGAGGGCAGACTGTGACAAGTTGGAGGTGTATACTACAAACCCTCAATCAGTGAAAAAAACCCACACAAGCTAGTTGGCCAGCAAAGAAATTGAGATAGAACCACACACAGTGCTCAGTTATTCCAAAGAAGGCAGAAAAAAACTGAGAAAGGGATAGGCATGGCGTAGGAAGCAGAGTGCCTGTTTGGCAAGCAAGGGGCTCTAAGTTCAAATCACAGTACTGCTAACACACACACACACACACACACACACACTCACTGAGAGAGAGAGAGGGCAGGCTATCAGAAAAAAGGAGAGCAGACGGAAAATAAATGGCAAGATAATGGATTTATACACAAATTTATCAACATTTACATTCTATGTAAATATTCTAAACACCTCAACTCAAAAGCAGAAATTGTCAATTAGTACACACACTATATTCTGTCCATAAGAAATTTACTTTAAAATACAAATAGGTTAAATATGAAAGAATAGAGAAAAGATATACCAAGATATATCAGTGAAAGTTGAAAGTGTCTATATTAATATTAGATGACAAAGCATACTTCAGCACGAGAAACATGGAATAAGAAGGACATTAAATAAAAATAAAGGGTTGATTCACATACAACTATCTATTCATCAGACATCAGAGTCTCAAGTCAAAGGAAGCAGAAACAGAACTGAAATGAGGAATAGACACTTCACAATTACCTTTTTGTTTTCCAGTCCTGGGACCTGAATTAAGGGCCTAAGTACTATCCCTGAGCTTTTTCCCTCAAGGCTAGTGCCCTACCACTTGAGCCACAGCACCATTACAGGTAGGAGACACTGGCATGTGGCTTTCACAATTACTTTTAAAGACTTCAATACTTCTCTTTAGAAATAGACAGGCTGGGTCTTGTAGTGAGCCACCAGCACCCAGCAAAAGAATATATACATATTTTTTTGTTAGTCATGGGGCTTGAACTCTAGGCCTGGGCGCTGTCCTTGAGCTCTTCAGCTCAAGCCCAGCGCTCTACCACTGAGCCACAATGCCACTTCTGGCTTTTTCTGTTTACATGGGCCTCATGCATGTGGGGCAAGCACTGTCCCGCTGAGCCACCTTCCCAGCCCCAAGAATAAAATTTTTAAGAATAAAATTTTGCAAATAACTCTAGGCTTATTAATTAAACCAATTACATGAAACAGAAACACTGCTGAGACATACAACTGGACAAAGGTCACTCAAAGGAGAAACAGATGGCCTGAATTGTTCATAACTAACAGAAAAATTAATTTAGTACTTAGAAACTTTCCAACAATCAAACAAATGAATGCCCTTCAAACTCAGATGCCTTCCCTAGCAAATTCTATGTAACACTTTGAAGAAATACATCAGTTCCACGGAAGCTCATGAAAAACAGCTGAGTACACACTTTCCATGCCTTCACATGGAGGAAATTCTCTATAAATATGGCTCAGCTCCAGTGGTTTCCAATCTGAGCTGGGCACAGTATTGGACCCCGGTACTCCCAGAGTCTCAGGAGGCTGAGAGAGGAAAACCACTTGTGCCCACGAGTTTGACACCAGTCTCAAGAATCAAGGAGATAGCATTAAGGGGAAAAAATAAAGTCTAGTGTTAAAATCTGAAAGTTCTATTTTTGTCTACCAAGCTAGTTTTTAATTAACTAAGTATTATGCAACAAACTGCAGAAATCAAACGTTAATCCACATTAAAACATGACTAGAAACAGGGACACTGCTTTCTGGAACACTCAGATCAGGTGTCATAAATACTATTTACTAATTGCCCTGGAATTCAGTAACTGCTTGGAGTCAGCGTTTGGTATAGAGTTCCTACATAGCTTTTCTAGAGATTACAGCAGAGGCCCCTGGGAATAATACTGTTTGCTCATACTGACTTTAGCTGGAAAAAGCCAAGGGAAAAACAGAGCCAAGGTAGAGGGTATGCTGTGGTTGAGTTCTGGCCATTTCTGGCTCTAAATCCTCCTTTTCAGTGTTACTTCATCTCCCTTAGACAGCTGCAAACCAGAGGGCACACACTTAGAAAGCAGGCTTTGAGGAACAGAGCAAAAGAAATGAGAACTGGCGAGTGGTGAAATTCCCCAGCCTGTACCTGTTCAGTTCCTATGGAGGGACCACCTGTTAAGTCTATGGAATGAGAGCCCAGGCAAAGTGGGGCTGTTAGTCAAAAGATTCCACAGATACAGCAGGCTGCTGCTGCTCCCCCTGCTGGCTACTTGGGTTCTCATCTGGGAAATTTGGTCTCCCCCAACAGCCACCTTAGGGCACTGTTAGGTCTCATCCTGGGGCCAGGCAGCCTGCGTGATGTAGGAAGCTTTTCTGAGTGCTGAGAGGAGTCAAGGAGACAGAACCAAATCTTCAGGAAAGATCTGATGATTCATTGGTTAAAATTTCCTGAAATTCTTTTCCCTGACAGATGTTGAGTGGGAGGTTATAATTCCAAGAAGTCTTTTAATCCTGAGATCTTAGCTTTTCTATTTGAGAATAAAGAGGAAATCAATGTCTTTCAGCAGGTTGGGTGGTCTTTTGGTTCCTTAGTGTTTTCATCTGAGAAATAAGCATGATAAGTGCACTTAATTCACAGATTATAGTACAGATGTTCAATGCATTCATCAGGCATAATTCTGAAGTCACTGCCTGGCATACAGTAAGTAACCATATGGTGATGATTCTAAAAAGAATGGGTGGATTGAAACACAGAATACACACCATGACTTCATTCGTAGGAAATTCTAGAGTGCAAGCTAATGTATTGTGCCAGGTGAACGTCAGCAGACGCCTTGTGCTAAGCGAGAAGGAACTGTGGCGAATTCCCTCACACTCCAAACTGTTTTTACTTCTGATCCAATGTGTGTAGGTTCTCTCTCCAATCCCCACCAGCAGATCCCAACAGAGCGCCCATCATCCGCCGAGCGTTAGATCCTGGAGGTTAGGGGTTCAGTCCCCAAAATTTGCCCCTGCAGAGCCAGGCGCCAGTGGTTGTAATCCTAGTTACTCAGGAGGCTGAGATCTGAGGATGGCAGTTTAAAGCCACCCAGGATAGGAAGGTCTGTAAAACTTTTATCTCCAATAAACTACTCAGAGAAAGCTGGAAGTGGAGCTGTGGTTCGAACAGTAGAGCACTTGTCTTCAGGAAAAGCAGCTCAGCCCAGGGTTTCAAGCCCCAGGACAGGGGGAAAAAAAGAAAAGAAAGAAAAGCCTCTCCTGCTTTCTAGGCCAATCACAAGCTTCTGCTACACACTGGAGGTTCCCTAGCCTCCTTCTTGGCTTAATTTTTTTCTTTTGTCACTCCTGGGTCTTGAACTCAGCCTGGGTGCTGTCCCTGAGCTCTTCAGCTCAAGAAAAGTGCTCTACCACTTGAGCCACAGCACCACTGCTGGTTTTCTGGTGGTTAATTGGAGATAAGAGTCTCACACACTGGCTTTAAATGGTCATCCTCAGAGCTCAGCCTCCTGAGTAGCTAGGATTATAGGCGTCAGTCACTGGAACCGGGCTACTTAATTTCTTAGAGCACCTCAGGGAAACAGGTTGATCTGTCTGTTATACAAAGGATAGGCTAAATGATGCAGATGAATAGCCTGCAAGATATATAGGGTAGTCAGGGGGCAATGGCTCATGCCTGTAATCTCAGGTACTCAGGAGGATCTCAGCCAGTTTGAAGCCAACCCTGGCAGAGAAGTCTGTGAGACTCCATCTCCAATTAGCCTGCAAAATATGGGACTGGAGGTACAGCTCAAGTGGTAAAGTACCACTTGAGAGAGTACCATCCATGAACAAGAAATGGAATTGAGTGCAGGAGGCCCTGAACTGCAGTCCCAGTACTTGAGCATGTGTGTGTGTGTATGTGCATGGGTGCACATACACACACACACACACACACACACACTCACACTCATTCTTTCTCTCTCTCAAAACAATTTGAGTTGGGTGCTGGTAGCTCACACCTATAATTCTAACTAATTGGGAGGCTGAGATCTGAGAATCATGGTGAAGAACCAACAGGGGCAGGAAAGTCTGTGAGGCTCTGATCTCCCATTAAGCACTAGAAAACCGGAAGTGGAGCTGTGGCTCCAAGTGGTAGAGCTCAGGTGGGTTCAAGACCCATGACCAACAAAAACAAGAGCAACAACAAACAAACACAGAACCTGATCAGCTTAGAAAGAGAAACAAAACTCGCGTCCACCCCCATTCCCTCCCCCACTAGCATATTTAGTTTGACCTCAAAGCCAAACTTGGAGGCACCGTCCCGCCAGGAGTCCCGCGGGGAGCGCTGGGCGCCCGGCGGCGGCAGGAGCTTTACCTGCGTTGAACTCGGGGTCGTTTTCCAGGATGGCCACGGCGCATTCCACGGCGTCCACGGCGCTGCCCCCGTCCCTGAGGATCTTGTAGCCCATCTTGGCGGCGCGGATGATGCCCTGGCGCACGCGCTCCTTGCGCTCCGAGGAGAAGTTGCTGGCTCCGCCACCGTGGACCACGACCACAGGTTTCATGACCGTGCCTGGGCATTGAGGGGAGGTGTCAAGACCCTTCAGCCCTGACCGGGCGCGGGAGGGCCCAGGGGGTCCCCGAGGGTCACGGGATGGGGGTACAGGGTGGGGGGCCGGGGGAGGGGCGGGGGGCGGGAAGGGGTCGGGGGATAGGAGGTGCAGGGGCCGGGGTTAGGAGGACAGGGTTCAGGGGGTGCAGGAGTTGCAGGCCTCAGCGAGCTGGCTCGGTGTGCACGACTGGATTTAGTTTCAGGCCTTTTCTGGAGGCCGGTGGGGAGGGACCGGCTGGGTTCCAGCTCTGTGCACGCACGCGATCCGGGGCCTCCAGCTCCCCTCCAGGCTCCCCGCCGCCCTCCCTCCCTCCCGTCCCCTAGCCTGGGCGCCTGCCAGCCCGCGTGCACACACACTCGTGTGTGTGTGTGTGTGTGTGTGTGTGTATGGGGAGGGAGGTTGTGGGACTCGGCATCCTCGATCCCCCTCGCAAGGCTGCACGGCGGCCTCAGTTTCCCCGGAGAAGCGCGGGCCTGGTGGGGGATGGCGCCCCCGGCTCCAAGTTGAGCCTCAGTTTCTCCAAAGAGGAGCGTGCTTCCCGATCGCCGAGGGCCGGACGTCCCCGCGGCCCCTCTCCCCGCCTCGACCCCCGCGGCCCCGAGGCAGTGGCTCCCACCCTCGGTCGGAAGGTCCTAGTTCTGTCCCTGCTCATTTCGTTCACGCCCCGGGCACCGCGAACGGCTGCTGCTCAGGACTTACGGAGGACCGCGGCGGGAGGTGAGCACCGGGTGTCCGTGGCCCCGGCGGGAGGTGAGCACCGGGCATCTGTGGCCAAGGCGGGAGGTGAGCACCGGGTGTCTGTGGCCACGGCGGGAGGTGAACAGCGGATGTCAGTGGCCCCGGACCGAAATGAATACCGGGTGTCCGCGGCGCCGAACGGAGGTGAATACCGGACCTCAGTGGCCCCGGCGGGAATTGAGTACCGGGTGTCCGTGGCGCCGGCGGGAATTGAGTACCGGGTGTCCGTGGCGCCGGCGGGAGGTGAATACCGGGTGTCCGTGGCGCCGGACCGAAATGAACACCGGGTGTCCGTGGCGGGGGCGGGAGATGAACACCGGGTGTCCGTGGCGGCGGCGGGAGATGAACACCGGGTGTCCGTGGCGGCGGCGGGAGATGAACACCGGGTGTCCGTGGTGCCGGTGGGAGATGAACAGCGGCTGTCAGTGGCCCCGGCGGGAGGGGCACACCGGGTGTCCGTGCTGCCAAGCCGTCCAGCCAGCTTGGAAGCCGCCGCGTCCAGCCTGCAGCGAGGCCGGCTCCACAAACCGCTGGGCCAGCGACCGCTGGGGGCACAACGGTTCCGCGCCTGCGCACGAGGGCGGGGCTGCGCCGCAGCTGAGGTCCGCACAAACCCCGCCCCCGGGCCCACCCGCCTGCTCCCCCCGCCCGCGCTGAAGGCCACGCCCCTCGCGTCTGGCCTCGCCCCCAGAACGGCTCGGTCTCCTGCTCAGGCTTCCGTCCAGTCATAGGCCCCGCCTACGCTGGTAGTCGGCTCCGCCCCTCGGCCTGGCCCTGCCCCTGCTCGGATCCAACCTGGGCTCCTCCCAGAACCCGGATGACTCTGGTCTTCCACCCAGTCCAGCACCTCAGCAGCAGCGGGGAGGTTTCTCCTCCTGTTAGGTTTGGAGGATGGTGGGGAAAGCACTCAGTGGTTTTGTAATTGCACCTCGAAATGCAACGCAACACTCCCCTGGGGATTGCGAGCTACTCTGCATTAAAAAGCTCTCCCCTTTACTCCTCCTCCTTTACCCTTCATCTTTTGCAAATAACAGAATGATGAACTGTAAAACCATCTGTAATTGTCACACCTGTAATCCTACAACTCAGGATGTTGAGATCTGAGGATTTCAGTTTGAAGCCAGCCCAGGCAGGAAGCCCTTTGAGATTCTTTAAGTGGAGCAGTGCTCAAGTGGTAGAACGCTAGCCTAAAGCTCATGAACATGGCCTAGGCCCAGCGTTCATGGTGCACACACCAATCTGAAATTGGCCTGATTCTGTGTGTAGGGCTGATAATCCCAGCTTACTTCTATCTCTGAGCTGCAGGATCTAAATCCCTACACTCTTAAGCTTCTGTACTTCAGATGACATTCCACCTCCCCCCGTTCCTTAAAGACTTGACAACAGAGGAACACAGTCTCGGAAACCAATGCGTATTATTTGTTCACCGGAGCTGTCTTAGTAGGCAAAGGGAATGGCTCTTTACATTTCTGCTCAGTAAGATAGCTAAGATACTGGGTTAGCGATGTGGACTGAAGGATGCCTTACTCCAAAAAATACTTTTTTGAGTCACAAATTTATTTTTTCATAGCTTTTAGTTTTTTTTTTTTTTGGTGATTTGTGGGGCTTGAACTCTGGGCCTGGGCACTGTCCCTCAGCTCTTCAGCTCAAGGCTAGCTCTCTACCACGTGAGCCACAGCACCACTTCTGGTTTTCTGGTGCTTTATTGGAGATCAGAGTCTCTCAATCTCCGGAGCAGGTAGGATTACAGGCATGAGCTACCAGCGACTGGTTCTTCTCTCTCTCTCTCTCTCTTTTTTTAAATGTATGGTTATTGCTAAGGTGATGTCTAGAGGGGCTACATGTCAGGTAATGAGTACATTTCTTCTTTTTGATGAGTACATATAATTCAGTCCATGCTCCTGGGCAAGGAGGACATACCAACCCTGCCTGGTCAATCATAGCATTCTATATAATTGGCGATAATAATTGGTTAGAAAGCTGGGGATGTGACCCACGCATGGCCTATGTGATAACTCCTTTAGAAATGAAGTTTGGACAATAGAAGAAATAAGTTTTGTCCACTACAACTGAGGCTATTTGGGACTGTTGATGGTCATCTTTTGTACCCTGTGGAGAGAACATTTGAAGAATGAAATTATATGGTCAAAAAAAGTTAACTTTCTCCAAAGTAATATCTGGCCTTTATCCTTGGCTCCTTGAAGATGGTGCCTAAACCCTTGGGAAGTTTATTAAAAAGGACCATGCCACCAGGGGTTGGGAATGTGGCTTCGTGGTAGACTGCTTGCCTAGCATGCATGAAGCCCTGGGTTCACTTTCTCAGCACCACATAAACAGAAAAATCCAGAAGTGGCGCTGTGGCTCAAGTGGTAGAGTGCCAACCCTGAGCAAAGAAGCTCATGGACAATGCCCCAGGACAGGCAAAAAAAGGGACCATGCCAGATGGTCTAACAACAGGATTGTAAAAAGAAAAACCTTTGAGCAGACACAGAGGTAGGATCTCTGTGACAGTCTCTGGAGGTAGAGATTGAAGAGATTCCTTTACAAGCCAAGAAAGCCAAAGATTGAAACACCTAGGGGAGGCTCAATAGAACCAAAGAAGGGTCTTCTGCTAGAGCTGTCGAGAAAGAACAGCCCTAATGACACCCTGATTTGGACTCCCAGCCTCCAGAACTGGGGAGCTGGAGGAGGGGCAGAGGGTGGGTGGGAATCTTTTACTTCTTATGTAATTCTTTGGCCAAATCAAAGAACTCAATTAATACAAGTGCTGATTAGCAATAGAAAACCATAAAGTTTTACTCAATGAACAAGAGAGTGAAGCTTGAAGGCATGAATAATCAAAGCATGCTGCTTTCATATTTTAGACAAACAAGAGTAAGCCACAGGAAAAATGGATGTCTTATCTGAACCTGTGTACTAAATTCTGGGGAGGTTACTCTGCAGATGGCTTATTTAGGTTCTTTGCAAGTCCCAATTACCAGTGCCTGATGATCAAGACAACTTTCCAGCCTAGGTATTGAAACCAGCTAAAAGCCTGGGCATGTAGCCACCTCTTAAACTCCTTAAGGTTTCCGAAGAAATGGAAGGTCAGAGTTGGCAGGCATGGTTTCTGTGCCCACAACTATGGCCATGGACTGAGAACTTAAATCTGAGATGGTATCTGGTAGCTATTTGTGGACCAGGGGTTACACAGGTACGTTGTGTTCTTGGAAGAACAGTAAACTGAACTTGGCAGCTCATGCCTGTTCCTGTTCCTGTCAAACAGCCAAGATAAGAAAGTTCCCCTAAGTCTCACTTTACCATTCAGATCTGACCAATGAATGGTGAACTGAAGTAAAATCTGAATAGTCTGGGCTAAGTTCTTCCTGAGGCTTACATCCCTCATTTGCATAGTGGAGCAGAGTGGATGCTGGGAAGAAAAGTGTTTACTGTAGAAGCCAGCTTCTTGCTTCATTCCTTCTCAGAATACTTTTGTTTTCTACCAAAGGCTGCCTCTCCTGGGTTTGCCAAGTAGTTGTTGAAATAAAGACTCTCTTTTTGTATTGATTTTTTCCTTTTTGTTGTTGTTGACAGATTTAGTGTTCTTCTTTCCAAATTTTTATTATAAAGTGAAAATTACTTATGTTGGACCTTTTTCCTTCTGCTCTCTGGTTATGCTGCTGGTGGCTTAGGAAATTAATCCTAGGACTAGTCTTTCTACTTTTGGCTAGCACCTGTAACAGCTTACCAAACCCTTTATTTATGTATTTATATCTTTGTGTGTGCCATTACCCGGGCTTGAATTAGGGCCTGAGCACTGTCCCTGAGCATTGTTTTGCTCAAATATGGTGCTCTATCATTAGAGCTACAACTTCACTTCAGGCTTTTTTGGTGGATAATTGGAGATAAGAGTCTCATGGATTTTCCTGGCTTCTAACCTTTCTCCTTAGATTTCAGCCTCTTTGAGGAGCTAAGAGAGTGCCCAGCTCCAAATCTTTGTATTTGAGACATTTTTTTTTTTTACATTTTGTCTTACCACAGTTAGCATTAGATCTGTCCTAGAAAATGGTGCCTCTCCTCCCCAGCCCTGGCCCTCATCTCTCTGCCATACACAACAGATCTGTGGCCTGATCTAGTGGGTCTCAGACTTTTTGTAGGATCAGAATCAGCTGGAGTTAAAAGTCTAGCTTTGTGGCTCCTAGTCACAGACTTTCCCATTCATCAGGTGGTTGTGAACACATTCAATCTGAGATTGGCACTACCTTCTTCCTGGGAACCAGAATAGCTGGGTAGGAGGTTGGGAAACTTGTTTACTTTTAGTTCTCTTGCAAGTGTCTGATGAATGATAAAGAGTTTGTTTTGTTTTGTTTTTTTGTTCCTTCAGTGCTGGGTGTTGGCATGCTTAATTCTGCTTCTCTGTGGGGACAAGCTGAGTGGGAACTGAAGCAGTCTGGGAATGATTAAATTAATCCCCAGAAGTAATTTTGTAGCAATGAGGGGAGTTCTCAAGGTAGAGGGATCTATCCCAAAGCTGTAAAGCTATCTCCGCTGTACAACTACCACCCATGCTTCTTTGGTTTCATAACATTACCTATATTTTTTTTTCTTTCTCAAAGAGATCTCCCCTAGCAAGATGACAGCTGTTTGGGGGCTTGTCAATTTTCAAGTTCTTGGTCATTTTTCTTGGTACCATAAGGCTCAACACAAGGTCTGACTCTCAGAAGAGTTTCATGATATTGAAAAACCCCAAAAAGCAATTTCCCAGAAGTTCCTGGTCACCATTATTAGGAGGAATGAACAGGAGATAATTTGAATATTTATAAGCTGGCCAGTAAGCATGGCTTGTTGCTATGATAGGACATCAACAATGTTTTCAATAGAGGAGCCTGGAACTCATGCTGCTGGCAGTGTTCTGGACAGTTTCTGTTTAGAAGGGGCTATAGAGGTAGTAACAGCTTCATGGGATGCTCTGTGCTGGGCACAGAGGCTAGAGCATATGAGCTCTAAAGAGTCTGTAGAATCAATTATAAAGCTAAGTTCCTACAGGAAGGCCTCAGCTATTTGTTTTGTTTTGTTTTTTTGTCAGTCATGGGCCTGAACTCTGGGCCTGGGCGCTGTCACTCAGCTCTTCAGCTCAAAGCTAGTGCTCTACCACGTGAGCCACAGCGCCACTCCCAGCTTTTTCTGCTTATGTGATGCTAAGGAATTGAACCCAGGGCCTCATGCATGCAAAGCAAGCACTCTACCACTGAGCCACCTTCCCAGCCCAGGCCTCAGCTATTGTACAAGGCCTGGACCAAAACTTAGGGTGCTCTATCTACTAATGGATAGCAATAATAATTTTTTCCTTAAAAA